GTACACCTGGGAGCCAGACTCCTGGATTCAAATCTCTGCTCCTCCACTTACTAGCAGTGTGACCCCAAATATGTGATTTAAACTCTTCCTACCTCAGCTTCCTTGTCTATAAAAATCTATAAAACACTCATAATGCCAATTCAGGCTTTTGGAAGGATTACGTGAGTTAATATACATTGAATGTTCAAAGCACTGCCTGGCATATAGTTGTATGTACATGTTACCTATTATTACTCATCTGTGAAGCAAGGGCAGCTGCTTGCTGGAAGGCCCCTTTTCTCTCTGAGCTGCTGCTGCTAGTCTGTAACACTGTAAGAGTGAGTAAGGCTTGGTGGCACACAGGACGGGCTTCAGAAGACAGGGTTTCTGTGGAAACGTTGGTTAGCAATGTTTCCTGCCCTTGGTATCCCTCGAGCTATCCAAGGCTCCCCAGCCTGTTGGCCATGAAAGCCCCTCCCACCCCTTCTTTTCCTGCCACCCAAGAACTGGAATTTGTGGACATCTCTGGCCAGGATGTCCTACCCTCTAAGAGCCCTCCCAAAGGCAGAGCACTTCACAGTTTACAAAGCATGACCATCTCTGTGATTCCCTCTGATCCTATATTGTATTAAATAGGATCAGATGTGAACTAGATGGGGCAGGAATTACCTGTCCTCTTTGCTTTATAAGGAAACAAAGCTCTTGAGGTGAAGTGCCCCCAGGTAACTCAGTCTCACATAGTTGGGACATGCAGACAGCCATGGATAAACTCGAGCTCCTACCAGAAGTGCTCACATTCCTGATCTCATTCCATCTGCCCCACCTGCCTCTTTTTCTCTCCCTTCTCCCTTCGTCTCGCCAGTACTCTCTTGTTTTCTCATCTGCACTCATCTCACCATCCCTGAAAAGGACCTGGCTGAGAAGCTGGGGACAACCAGGCCTGGGGCCAGAACCCCCTCCCCTGGTCCTGGCATCTTCTACTGTGTGCCAGGCAGAGGCCTGAGGTCTGGCTTGCATAGGCTCCTGGCCCAGTGCTGGGCGGAAGTCACTAGGTGTCCCAAGGGTATCCCTGCCGGGTCATGGGGCCCAGCCCAGTGCCAGACACAGAGCCCTGGAGACTTAGCAACAGGAAATGAGGAGGAGGAGGAGGAGTAAGAGGAGGAGGAGGAGGAGGAGGAGGAGCCGAGGAAGGAGGAAGGGCAGGAATGCTACCCAGCCAGCCCCCCTGTGTCGGAACAAACAGTGCTGAGTGCTAATGACTTGTTGTTGTTCATGTCAAAATGCCCAGGTGGCCCCAGTCCCTGCCCCAATTCCCACTGGTGCCCACAACCCAGGTTCCAGCACAAGCTCCCTTCCTGGTATTATTCTGACCCTGAAGGGCACATCAGGAGGGGAGGTGCCAGGTCATGTGGCCAGGCTGGTCCCAACCCAGATCACAGATCCACAGGCCTTGCTTAAACCATTTCCTGTCCTGCCCCAGGGGATGAGCACGAGGCTCAGAGGCTGGGGGCTCTGGCCCATCAGAGCTAAGGGACATGAAGGTGCTCCTCTCATTTTGCCAAGGAAAGCAGGTGCCCAGAGAGGAAGCAACTTGCCCAAAGTCACACACTGCTAGGAATAGAAGATCCTACTGAATAACTGCTCCCGAGGCTGACCCTGTAAGTAGGTGTTTGTCTCCTATTTCACACTAGAGAGGAGGTTCAGAGGTTATGTAACCTGCCCTGAGAACTGGTAAATAAGAGCACCAGCATTCACTCCGTTCCTGTCTGACTCCAAAGCCCATGTTCCTAGCCACTAAGCCCTGCCACCTCTATGGCACCTGCCTCACGTCTCCTGCACTGTGTCATGGAAGCTGAGGCAGTCGAGGCGTTCTGCCCTCAGGAAGGTACCACGGGCCAGTAAGCTTGGAAAAACACTGGGTTAAACAAAGCTCGATAGGTTCATTATCATAGTCCTCCTGGATCCCTGCCATGTTCCCGTGTACTGGGAACCTCCTAGGATCGGGGTGGGGGTGCTATTCAGGGGCAGTGGTCAAGTTGTGGGCTCTGGCGCTGGATGCCNAGCCGAGGAAGGAGGAAGGGCAGGAATGCTACCCAGCCAGCCCCCCTGTGTCGGAACAAACAGTGCTGAGTGCTAATGACTTGTTGTTGTTCATGTCAAAATGCCCAGGTGGCCCCAGTCCCTGCCCCAATTCCCACTGGTGCCCACAACCCAGGTTCCAGCACAAGCTCCCTTCCTGGTATTATTCTGACCCTGAAGGGCACATCAGGAGGGGAGGTGCCAGGTCATGTGGCCAGGCTGGTCCCAACCCAGATCACAGATCCACAGGCCTTGCTTAAACCATTTCCTGTCCTGCCCCAGGGGATGAGCACGAGGCTCAGAGGCTGGGGGCTCTGGCCCATCAGAGCTAAGGGACATGAAGGTGCTCCTCTCATTTTGCCAAGGAAAGCAGGTGCCCAGAGAGGAAGCAACTTGCCCAAAGTCACACACTGCTTAGGAATAGAAGATCCTACTGAATAACTGCTCCCAAGGCTGACCCTGTAAGTAGGTGTTTGTCTCCTATTTCACACTAGAGAGGAGGTTCAGCGGTTATACAACCTGCCCTGAGAACTGGTAAATAAGAGCACCAGCATTCACTCCGTTCCTGTCTGACTCCAAAGCCCATGTTCCTAGCCACTAAGCCCTGCCACCTCTATGGCACCTGCCTCACGTCTCCTGCACTGTGTCATGGAAGCTGAGGCAGTCGAGGCGTTCTGCCCTCAGGAAGGTACCACGGGCCAGTAAGCTTGGAAAAACACTGGGTTAAACAAAGCTCGATAGGTTCATTATCATAGTCCTCCTGGATCCCTGCCATGTTCCCGTGTACTGGGAACCTCCTAGGATCGGGGTGGGGGTGCTATTCAGGGGCAGTGGTCAAGTTGTGGGCTCTGGCGCTGGATGCCCGGGGTTCAAATCCTGGTTCTCCTATTACCAGCTGGTTGTGTGACCTTGAGCCTCTTATCAACGTCTCTATGCTTCAGTTTCCTCACCTGTAAAATGGGGTTGGTGATAACAGTACCTATCCCATAGAGTTATCATGAGGATCAAATGAGTTAACAATAGAAAGTGCCTGGCTTGTCGTAACTGCTTTGTAAATGTTAAAGAAATGTACCTTGGCTGACCCTGTCCCTGATCTGATGGCCCTGAGTGTCAGCTAAGGGGTTCTCAGTGGGAAAGAAGTAGCTGGTATGGGTTGGGGTGAAGGCCCTCACCCACTGTCTCCTCTCATGCTTGGACAGGAAGGACTCAGGGTGGAAGAGACGGTGCTTAGCTAGCTTCCCTGGCACCGGTGCCATGGTCTGCCTCACCCTCCTTCCCTGTTGCTGAGTGTCAGAGCCCCACTGGCAGGTAGGCACAGAGCCAGACAGCCGCGTGGGGACCTGTCAGACCAGTTCCTTTAGACCATGGCTATGGTCTCAGGCCCAGGCTGTGCTGTGCATGGTGGGACAGGAAAAGGATGCATGGGGTGGGGGTGATGCTTTGGGGTGTCAGTGTTACGATCCACAGCACAAGAAAGTACACCCTGGGCTTGGACTCTGCAGCCAGATTACCCGGGACCAAAGTCCAGCTTTGTTCCTTACTTAACAGCTGTGTAACCCAGGACCTGTTGCTTAGCCTCTCTGTGCTGCTGTTTTCTCATCTCTAAAATGAGATGATGACATTAATACCTGCCTGGCAGGGCTGTTGTGAGAGCATTTGATATGACAAAGGTAAAGCTCTTATAATAGTGCTTGGGACATAAAGACTAGGTAACTATTAGCCACTACCATTATTTGGACAGGTTGGATGAAAGCATGTGTTCTGAGTTAGGGCACAGAGACACTACCCCCAAAACAATCACTCAAAGAGCAGCGTCCACGCTTCTCTGAGTTCATGGGACCCACCAGGGATCACCCTGATCTTGCCCCTGCATCTAGACAAACTGATCCCTCTGCTGCTCCCAGACACAGACAATCTCCTCTCCCTGTCATGGTTTCCAAAAGAGATGTTCTTCCATCCCATTCCAGTGTCATCTTTGCCAGAGTTGGTAAGTCCTTTCTATGTTTAACCTCAGGCCCTCCTGCTGTAACCTGCTTTCATTTTCACTTGTCCTGGTCTAGTAGGAACAGCAAGTGCTCTCTTCAGGCCTCAGGAGGTCGATGGGTTTCTCCGTTGGTTTTCTAAGAGGCAGGCATGACATGCATAACTCCCAGCACTGTCCTCCTAGGACACTGGGCTCCACCCCTCACAACATCCACCCTTCACCCTTTATGTGCATACCCCCCGCCTGGCACTTGTCCCGCACATGAGCTCTTCGTGGGTCAAAGGCATCATCCAGAGATGAGAGGTACAGTTTTACAGGTACCCAGAGCCTCTTAAACATAGACGCAATGGGCTGAAGCCACCCCACCCCCATTCCTCAGGGCTGGTCATTAGGAGAGGGTGTGGCCCCTGCCCCTAGCCCTAAAAATCTAAGTTCCTTCTAATCACCAATCTCCACTTGCCCCCCTACTTGGCAGGGGAGGGGCCTTGTTTCTGTGCCTTTGACCCCATTTACACTCCAGCAACCCTCACCCCCACCCTTCCGGTCTCCCCAAGCACACCAGCCCTTCCNTGGACCCCAAGCCCCAGGCCCAAGATTGCATCCACCAGCTCCCGGCCAGAGCAGCACTGCCTACAGGAGGGAACAGGGAAAAAAAGAGTCAAATGGCAGCAGGGGAGAGAGGCGAGGGAGGCACTCTCCATCTGAATGCACCTTCCTAGGCCCAGCTCCAGTAAGACGGAAGCAAGGCCAGGCCCAGATGCCTGACATAGAATGAAAGAAGGAGAAAACAGAGGGGCTGGGCGAGGAGACAGACAAGGTCTCCACTCACCGGTAGAGCCTAAGGTGGTACTTTCGGTCTCGGATGAGGTTTGGGCAGGTGGCCAGGAGATGTCGATGCAACTGCTTGCCAGCCCTGAGCACCCGCTCCGTGGACGCCTAGGAAAGGGAAAGCGGCACAGCTGGCTCAGGCCCTGACCCCTGGCCATGCTGCCCCCTCCCAGCTCTACCCTCGGGCTTGTACCTGCTCCAGGCTCACACTGAAGTCCAGGGACTCCTCGCTGTTGGTGAGTGGCGTCTGAGGGCAGTGGGGAGAGTCTACATGTTAGTGCTAGGTCTTCAAATCCAGCCCCTGGACTCCAGCCCTCCCGCATCACGCCTACCCCTTGCCCAGCCCCCGACTCCAAATACATCCATTTAGCTATTGATTCACCAAACACAGTAGTACCCCCTTATCTGTGGTTTGGCTTTCTGAGGTTTCATTCGCCTGCACTTGACCATGGTCTGAAAATATTAAGCGGAAAATTCCAGAAATAAACACTTCATAAGTTTTAAATTGCGCGCCACTGTGAGTAGTGCGATGAAATCTTGTGCTGTTCCCCTGGGACATGAATCATCCGTTTGTCCAGTGTATCCATGCTGTATACGCTCAGACGCTACCCACCCATTAGTCACTTAGTAGACAGCTCAGTTAGCAGATCCATTATCCCAGTGCCTATGTTCATATAACCCTTATTTTACTTAATAATGGCCCCAAAGCACAAGAGCAGTGATGCTGGTGATTCAGATATGCCAAAGAGGAGCCACAAGTGCGTCCTTTAAGTAAAAAGGTATGTATGTATGTATGTATGTATGTATGTATAGGGG